TATATTTATATATATATATATATATTAGGATTTGTCCTATTTTAGGTTTAGTTTTTCCTTAAGATCTTGTTATCTTAGTAGGTTCATTCTTCTATAAATAGAAAATGTTGTAATAGTAATTAGATGCCAAGGAATAAATAAAATTTATTATAAATCCCTCTCTTCTCTCTCTCTCTCTCTCTCTCTCTCTCTCTCTCTCTCTTCCAAGAAGCTCATGGAGCTTTTTCCTCCTAATATTTCTTAACAAGTGGTATCTGAGACCGGTGGAGGTGATATTAGAGGAGGAGGGTTCTTCTACAAGAAACAAGCGTCAGATGGTCGTGCAGTACACGCGACAACAGGGGTTGCGAACAACTTCACAACCCGCTCAGGCGGGAATTGTGTGAACGGTGCGAGCAGACCCATGAGGAGCAGCCACATGCAAGCATTGGTCAGTGATGCATGGTGCGGGGGTATGCTTTGGTGTGGGAAAATGCGGGGTGCAGATCGGACGCGTGGGGCGCGGGGCGCAAGGCAAACAAGCGGGGAAATTTCTTGTAAATCTCTCTCCCTCTCATCCTCCATATCTCTCTCTTCCAAGATGAACATCTTATTCCTCCCAAAATTCATTATATATATATATATATATAATTCATAACATTTTCTCTTGATAACTAACAAACTATATAATATGAAATGCTATTAAATGGGCGATCAACCTCTTTAAAGAAAAATAACCATGATGATTTAGAGATTAATCATTATGAATTATATAATTTTAAATTGAACATGTTTTATAAAGTTTTAATATTTATGTTTTCTTGAAGGAAGCTGTTTTTAATAAATCCTTTGATATGTGAACTCATTTCATTTTTCTTCATTATATTCCTTTTATCCATTTATAAATTAATAAACCAAGAATATTAAAAATAAAATTGATATTTATTTGGTTATTCATCTTATCAATAGGTCATGTCTCATGAAGTACATTATTAGTTCGTTCACTTTATTCAAGAACTTGAGCATGCTTTCTTTTAGGAATATAATTAAATTCTAATTGAGATTTATGCTCACATATTATTCTATATTCATGAATACGTTCTAAGGTGAACTCCTATATTGATTTAGATTTAATAATATTAGATGTATGATGGACCAACGATTGAGTCGGTGAGTCCCATTAGGGTGGGCGGTGGGCAAGAAGAGAGAGGAGGAATTATTTAGGATAGTTTTAATCACAATTGAGAGGTAATTAATTAGGGAAAGAAATCTAATTTGAATTTTAAATCTGAGAGGGAATTATTTAGGGAAAGGGGTTGATTTGGGAGGGAATTAGGAGAGCCTATTTAAAGCTAACTATAGGGCGATTTCATATTATGCTTGATTTTGCTGGAATTAGTTTTGCTTAGGTTGAGTGGGCTTTAGCTTACAGCTAGAGATTTGGGAGAGCCGGATCTTTCTCTCCAATTGAACATCCAATTGTATATTGTATATTTTTTTTAATTTTTTCAATAAAAAAAAGAGTTATTGTATGTTCTTCTTCCTATATGTGTTATGCAGTTCTCTGGCTTTACTGAAATTGCATACATTTCCTATCAATGTATGTTCATATTGTAATTGATTTTTTTTTAATCTAATGCATCTTTTAAAGAATATCCTTGAACTACTCTTTCCTCAAAAAGATCAATATTTGATCATATGGTCCATATTTGGCCATGCTTGATTTTTTTGCAACCCTTTTGTGTTACCTGAATTTTTTTAAATGAGAGCAGAAATTTGTGAAAAGTTTCTGGGTGTTAAATTTTGGATATGAATTCCACACTTATTTTTGCAGGCCATATGAAGATCCTATATATAATGACACTCAGAGAAAACTTGCAATCCCTGCTCCACGCTTTCCATCAGGAGAAATTCCAAATGGATTCTTAGGATATGCAGTGAACTTGATCACCCTAGATAGCCATCACTCGAATACAAGAACTGCTTCAGGTTTTGGGCTCCGTGAGACCTTATTCTATCAACTATTTGGTAAACTTCAAGTGTACAAAACCAGGGCAGAGATGCAACAAGCTAGCTCATGTATAGATCAGGCAGCCGTATCTCTAGATGGAGGAATAATAGTGACAAGTGGAATTATTGTTTTTGGGGATTGGTGAGTATCACTCTTTATTACTATTTAATGTGCATTTGTTTCATCACATATCAAACTAAGTTACATTCATTTGTTTTCACCATCGAACTTCATAGAGAAGTTGCACTTGAAGTAAACGGGTGTTGGTATATATATATATAGGTTTAGAAGGGCACTTGCCCCTGCGAGCATGGACTTTTTATTGTGCGAGGACAGCGGACGGAGAGAACCGTTTGGTTTTCTCTGTGTGTATAGTAAAAGCGCAGCTGCTACAGTAACTTTGCTTTGACTGCACTTTTATTATAGACAGAGAGAAAAACCGGACGTTTCTCTCCGTCCGTTGTCTGCATAGAATAATCTCTGCCAGATTATTCTGTGCAGACGCTGTATGTAGTTCACCGTCCGGAGACCAACTAGAATGCGTCATGTTAGCGGTACCGAACAGTACTGAGCTGGGTACCGAGCAGAGGGTGATGGGGCGCATTCTGATTGATCACCGTACGGCATTCGGCGTCCGCACGTAATAATTCACACGCTTTTTTTCCAGCAAGTATTTGTTTTACAGGTGCATTTAATTTTCTTTTTTCTTTTCTCCAGTGAGCCCGAGATAAAATTTCCTGTAGTTCCTGAATTTCATGATGTTATTTCAAACAGCGCCATGAAAATCCTGAAGCAGATCGAGGACAAGAAAGCTGTTTTGGAAGCCAAAAACAAAGAGATTGAGAAGAAAGCTCAGGCTCACTCTAAAACACTGGCGAAGTTCCATAAAAAGAAAGAGATATTATGTTCCCTTCTACCTCATTTGTAATCTGTCTACATGGAATCATTGATAGAGCCAAAGTCAGGCTAATTAAACCGTAATGGTGATTTTGTTTGCTTTCTTAAAGGGAAAGACGACCAATTTTTGTTTATGTGTTATCCACATCTGAATTCTAAGGTGTGTTAGATTTATGTTGGATCAGTAATGTTATTGTCTTTTGAAGGATTGCAGTTAGTACTAACAATCTTTTGGCTGGTTTGTTTCCTCATTGTAATCTTTTGGATATTATTTAATATAGTTGAGATTATTTTCTATTTTTCATATAGAGTTAACAGACTATTTTAATCATTTTTTCTTCTGTAAATATGTATATTATAAAAATATTATTTCTTCTAAAATTGAGATAAGCTGGTTTGTTTCCTCATTGTAAATTTTTCTGCTGTTTAGGGTATAAAGTATGAATAAAATTGATTAGAAATCAAAGTTTGTCATCTAGTTGGACATATTGGTGTTAAAATGAAAGATTTAGGTTTCGTTTGAGATAATTTTTAGTAATTGTATTTTTGATTTTTTAGGAAATTTTTATGCTGAAAAAATGTAGTAGAAAGCAATAACAAAATCATGTCAAATGAAACATTAATTATATTTAAGTTTCATTTGGGATGGCTTTTTTATTGCTGTTTTAAGAGCAATAAGAAAATCATATCAAATAAAATCTTAGTCTTTGTTGGCCTAAATGTTAAAAAAAAAAAACAGCTTTAGAAAATAATAAAAAAATTGTTTTAAATTGTTTGGGATACTTTCTTATTATTTCTTAAAATAAAATTTTAATATAAAAATTTGCATTAAAATGTTACTTTTAAAAACAGTTAAAAATTTGTCCCAAAAAAGCCTTAGTCTACCCTACCAGCTATACGTTCAGCTTACCAAAGCTCCTTTAATTAGCAAAAGTCAAAACATTCTGTAAGCACAGTGAGGACTCGATCTTGTCGATGCTGAATTTCCTCCAAAATTCAAAAAAATTGAAGCAATGTATGCCTTAATATAAAATTTGCATTAAAATATTATTTTAAAAAACAATAAAAAATTCCTTATAGCTTTCTTGCTTTTCCGAGGCAGCTTTCTTTTACAAAAATTTTTAATTCAAAGAATTTTTGTACTAAAAAAAAGTTGCTTTAAAAAGAAATAAGAAAATTGTCCCAAACGTTATGTTTTATTTGGAACAATTTTTTTACTACTTTCTAAAACAACTTTCTAATTTAAAATTTTCTAGTTGCTGCTTCTAAAAATAGTAAGCAAGTCGTCTCAAATGAAGCCTTTAGTCTACCCTATCGCACTTCAGCTTACCAAAGCTCCTTTAGTCAAAAGTCAAAACATTCTGCAAGCGCAGTGAGGACCCGATCATCTCCATAACAGTTTCTATGGGCAGACAAATTATTATATGCGGACATCGAACGCCTTTCAGAGACAAATCAGAATGCGCCACGTCACCCCCGCTTGACACCGCGCACGCTACTGCTGACGTAGCACATTATGATTGATCTCCAGGCAGGCGGTGAACTAAGTTCGACGTCAGGAGCAGCTTTTTCAAAGGATTCCCACTGCAATGTTCATGAGTGAAGCTTAACCCTTGTCCCAAAATTAGGGTCTTTTAGTGGGAGGACAAATATATGAATATATAAAATAATGAGACCAATATTGTTGCGTGCTAGAATATACGCGGCGGTAGAGTTTGTAAATTTGCATCCTAGCATTGTACGAGTATTCAACACACAAACAGAAAAGAGAAGTGAACACCAAGGTTTTTACGTGGAAAACTCCTAAAAAGGGGGAAAAACCACGGGGCCTAGCCCAGTTTGAATGAATCCACTAGTATTGCAGTCGATTACAAATGAGGCCCTTCCTTGGTGGAAGGTCTTAGCTTGATGTACATCTTATGGAATACATTACATGATGTTAATACAAAGAGTCATCGTTGACATGTTCGTTGGTCGGAAGGACTGTAGTAGACGGGCGACGTAAGTAAGGAGGACCGTAGTTGGCGGGCGACAGAGGTCGAAAAGATTGTAGTAGGCGGGCAACATAAGTTAGGAGGACCGTAGTCGGCGGGCGACAGAGGTCGGAAAGACTGTAGTCTGACGACGAAGATCAGAAGGACAGCGTCAGGTAGAAGTCCAACAATGGAAAGAAATCCATCTTCGTGTAGACGTCCAGCGAAGTCCGATAAACGGTAGAAGTCCGGCGTCGGGTAGAAACTTGGAGAAGAGTGAAGGTTCGATGT